GGTTCGAGTCCCGACCCTCTAGTGCTTGGGTTCGAGTCCCAAATCACTAGGGTGTGGTGATGGTTTGGAATATAAGGACACTCATTTTTCAGTGGTCATGGACTCTCAGTAAGGAGACTGGTTTAGGCACACAGCCAAACGAGGGATGCCTTGGAGTCGTGATGCACGGTTATATTGTTTAGTGTGGTTCGGTATATCTAACTTGAACACTTTGGTGCCAGTGGCACCAAGGACGTGGTGAATGAGATGGGGACACCCAGTCTCAGTTGCTATGGACCCTTAGTCGGAAGGGCTGGCTTGGGTGCACCGCCAAGTGTGGGGGATGCCCCCAAGGTCATGCTCAACAACTTAAAAGTCTGGAAGACCTAGTACCTATTGGCAAACCTGTTAAGGTGCCAAGGTTAGATCACTAAGTGGTCTTATGGCTAAAACAAGGAAAAAGTCCTTGTGAGTTTAAGGGATAAAGTTCCTAGTTCAAAAGTGTTGATTTAAACTATTGATAATGGTGTGGTTTAGTCAAGATGACTAAGTGGGAAGAACACCTAAGGGAAATAAGCTATGTCAAGGCAATGGCATAGTAAGTCTGAGGAAAGTAGTCTCTACAAGAGATCCAAGGGAGGGTCCCAAAAGTTGGGCCGTGGATAGAGCCCACAACAGAAAATGTTAAAGAAACGTACTAGGGGTGAACACTCTCTGGACTTGGCAAAGCAAAGTGTTGCTATGGAACCGAAAGGAAACCTCGAAAATGGAGGTAGCAATCCTATGTTGCTGGGTGCAACAATCAAGGATAGGAGCAAAAGACTAGTGGCTAAGAAAAGAGCCATACAAATCATAGGAAAGAATCCAAATGGCAAAGTTAGGTGAGAAGCCGATTAAAACTGCAGCAAACACGCACACATATGCAGTGCACCCCATCTCTTGCAGTATGAAAACTAGGGAGAAGAAACCGTATGTTCTGGGGGACCTTGCAAAACGGCTTGGAGCGATGGTGATAGAGAACCGGCCAGTTCAGGAGGTGGTTGCAGAAATCAACCAAATGGCAGATGGAACGGTATATCAGAAGCCATTTGATTGGACAGACACCAGTCATCATTTATGGCATGTATATTGTCTAGCCAAGCACTATCCGCATCTCCATAATCTGCTCAACCGGATGGGTTCTTCGACCACTGAACATGAGCGTGGAAGTATTAGAGAAGAGATGGCATTACTATTGGGTTTAAATCCTGATAGTGTGGAGAGCGATGAAATTCCAAGATTATTGTATAGGCGTTGGAGGCAAAAAATAACAGTCTGAGATGGCATGTATTTATTTAAAAATGTAACTTATTATGGCATGGGGTTCCATGCCATTGTATTAATATTAAAAGACAATTCTTTGAGAGGATTTGCATTATACTAGAAGTGTTACAGCATGTTATTGGAAGTCTACGAAGTTATTTTATTAATAAGGGGAAAGTAAAGATTGAATGGGGACTTGGGCTCCACCTAGACTCGGAGCAACTAAGCCAATATTAAAAGGATGGAAAGAAATTGGACGACGATGACAAGGAGAAGAGAGATGTGAAGCAGTGGCAGGGGGAGGAGAAGTGATTGAGTAGACATTTCCTTGTTTAAAATAAAATGGCATGTGCCTCAATGCAGTTGAATTTTGTTATATTTATATACTATATAAAGGTTTGGAAACCTTATTTTACAAGTGGGATAATGACAATTTCCACTTTAACGAAATAGAGCTTATGTGTTGAGTGCTAACGGATTGTGAGAAAGGCAATGTTTCCCCAAGGATGGATTCCCAACCACTCTGATTTAGCGAAAGTGGATGCTCTAAAAAAGGGAGCGGTAAGGTAACCAAATAATAGGGCTGTGGGCAGCCCTAGCACAAATTATAATAACTGGAACTTAGTGCGAAAGGTGGCATGATATCGAAGAGAGGATGATGGTGCCCTCAAGTAAAGAACTTCTTAGGATGGGGAAGTGGAGTTGCACCATGTGCAACGTAAGGTGTCGGAGACACTTAGGAAATTGACTCTGAGAAGTCAAAATTAAAAGTTCCAAAGTGTTATGTTGATGGAATCTGAGACAACTCAAGAATGAGTAGTGGAATTGAGTTAGAGAGGGTGTCTCTAACAGGTTTAGCGAGAACTAAACCAATAAAAGGGAGCAAACCACCCCAGATGGCCAAATGAGCCTTTAAGTTGGAGAGGCTATGCCTCTTAGAGGATGGACAAGGCATGGTGAACCTTCAGTATCAAACCATAGACAAATATTGGCCAGGTGCCAAGGATGGGAACAGTAATACATGTGGGTGTTACTTTATAAAAGGGATTACTGTTTGATGAGGACATCGAACTTCTTCTATGGGTGGTGGAGTTGTGAGACACAAAATCCCTAGGCCCCAAAGTGGAGCCGAAAGGGTGCCACGTGGTAGTGGCCGAAGCGAAAGCCAAACGAGTGTAACACGTTTGGACCGAAAGCTCCGATTTGAAAGGCCGAAAGCGGGAGTGGAACTCCCAGCGAAGGGCTCGAGGAACAAGTACGAAGCGAGCAATAAGCGAGGCTCCAAAAAGGGACCCAAAAGGACCAACATGTGACACGTGGATGAGTCTGAGATGGAGTCCAAGATGGACCAAGACGGAGTCTGAGATGGAGTCCGAGATGGATCCAAGATGGAGTCCGAGATGGAGTCCGAGATGGACCCAAGTTGGAGTCCGAGATGGAGTCCGAGATGAACCGAGACAGAGTCCGAGATGGAGTCCGAGATGGACCCGAGATGGAGTCCGAGATGGATCCAAGATGGAGTCCGAGATGGACCGAGACGGAGTCCAAGATGGAGTCTGAGATGGGATCCGAAATGGAGTCCGAGAAGGACCCGAGATGGAGTTCGAGGTCGAGACCGAGACCGGGACCGAGACCGAGACCGAGACCGAGACTGAGATCGGGACCGAGACCGAGACCGAGGCTGAGGCCGAGACCGAGCCCGAGTCCAAGTCCGAGTCTGATTCTGAGTCCGAGTCCAAGTCCGAGTTCAAGTCTCAGAGGGTGAAAGCCCAAAGCATTCATCTCCCAGACCCTGGGGGGTTTGGTGAGCTCCAAAAGTATAGTAAGGGGAGGACTGCAGTGGAACCAGTTTGGCCAGGAAAGGCCAGTTTGGCTCAAGAAGGCTGTACTCAGTGTTGGGTGATGAGCTGCCCACTGGGAAGTCCAACACAGATTGACAAGCGAGGTAGTTTGGTGAAGTGTTCAAGAGCCGGCTCTAATTCCCCCGGGAGATCGACTGGCCGATGCTCCCAGTCCAAGTGTGGGTGGCACTACCTACTTGGATACCATGCGTGGCTCAATGGAACCTCGCTCTAAGCCCATGGCTAGAGCACCCAAATGCAGAAGTACCCACGAGGCTTGCATAAGGCCACGGTGTTCCGAAATGTTGTCCCAAAGGCCTAGACTGTGGAAAGGAAGAGGAGTAGTCCTCTGGTGTAGTGACCAAGGATACAATCGTGTGGTGAGGAAATCCTAGAGGACCGTGGGACTTAGTGGTCGGGCCTGTGGGCCTTGATCCAATGGCAATGTTGGCAAATTAGGCCAAGGACAGAGAGGGACTTGGTGGGGACCAAAAAGGAGATATTGGGGAAGGCTATTCCCCATGTCTATGGGCATCCTAAGGATGCTAAGGAGTGGATCTAAGATGACCACTCATGGATGGATGGCCCAGTCTTGGAGAGACGGGATTGCAATGCAAGTGGTGTTGGACCATCGATGTGACCAAGGTGATTGGGCATGGCATAGCGTAACGGGCCGGTATGTTGGTGGTGCCTTGGGGTGTCGGTCATGGGACTGGACACGTGGAGCACTTGAACCAAGTGCAAAGGTTAAGTGGCATGGATGTCATTCTCGGGGCTAGCAAGCCCCAAGTCTTGGGTGGGACTTATGGAGGTTGTGAATGAGACTCCTCCAAGTGGTCGGAGGTGCGGTTAAGTGACTATAGTAGAATGGAAAAAATTAGTCGCTTACACCCCCCACCACTGGCCTCCTCAGCTCAGCTCATTCCTCAACCCCTGGCTGGATGTATGGCGGCTCCAACGTTTGGATGCCATGCCTTGTGACCAAACCTCTTGGTCACACTAGCTATCCTAGCCAGGAAAGTCCTTTTGGCCATGCATGTCCTCCACGCAGGCATGTTACTGCACAATGCACCTCATGCTCAAAATTTCAGTCATGCTAGAAATGGAATTGAAAAGGAAAATTCATATAGACTCCAGTGATGTGATGAGGTGCCTCTCATCTCCACCATAAAATGGGCGTAAGCCCGGGAGAGGCTTACTAGAGTCCACATCCGGTCAAAGCCCTTATTGTGCTCAGATCTTGATCACCCTTGCTTGTTATGCCGTTTCCAAGCCAATCCTCCCCCCAGCCCTAGCTCCTGCCACATCCTTTATCGCTGCCCTGCTGCATCCCAAGAAGTCCCTACTGATCCGCAGCCTAATCCTCTATAACAGACCCCTCCCCGCCACATCAGATCTCCCTGCCAAGTCATCCCTCCACATGTTCTACCTCACTTTGTTCTACGGGCTTGTTATTGGCTGCTACAACAGCCTTGATTGTGCCAAACCCGAGAAAGGAGAAGAGCCTATAATGCTATAGTAGCCAATAATGAGCCAGTAGGACAATAACCTTGATTTGTTAAAAGGTAATAACACAGAACATGTGGAGGGATGACTTGGCAGGGAGATCTAACGTGGCGGGGAAAGGTTTGTTACAGAGGATTGAGCATCGGATCAGCAAGGACTTCTTAGGATGTAGTAAGGCAGCAATAAAGGATATTGCGGGAGCTCTTATTGTTGATTGCCCTAGCTCATTGTCTAGTAAGCCTCGCCCAAGTTTACACCCATTTTAGAACCATTTCCACACTGGAGCACTGGGAGTCGAACCCGCGACTGTTGCTAGTAGCTGTCAGGATTCGAACCCCGGATGTTCTCCGGTAGGGTTGAAGGATTGTAAACCCGTTTGGATGGGGATGACTCTCGTATTCCGGGGATTGTCGATTGTGGTGCGCCGCGCGGTCAGCATCGGCAATGGCGCCGCTGGAGCTGCGCATCAATCCATTGGTTTGGTCCGGGCGCTCGGCCTTGCCAGCAGCTACACCATCCATAAGAGTTCTTTTGCTCGCTGCGCGCGTCTTGTTCCCGGCGCTGCCATCACATCCAAGGGTATTGTGGATTTTTCGGAGCTGCTAGTCTCGATCCGGTTCGTGGGGCACCCCAAATTTCGCACAGCCGATGCATGACGACGGTGTAGCGGCATCGGGTGTCGATGACCAGTATTCCAGGTCTCGCGTTTTCATGTGTGCAAGAATTGATGAGGAGATAGATCGCTCGCCGGTATGCTCAGCAGGCGCTATGATCCACCGTTACCAGTAAAACATCCTACTGGAACACCGCCAACGCGCAGATCAACAAGGTTATGTATTCTCCTCTACAGGAAGAATGTGCTTCCACCGCTTTGAGTAAGACCAAGATCGGCGCATCGGTGTGGATTTCGTTGGAGCGAATGCGAACAGTGAAGCCGGTGCCTGGAATCCGACCATGTTTGCTCTCAGGCTTTTTGATACCCTGAAGATCGTGCCAGTAGTATCGAACAAGGTACCGCATTCTCGTCCAGGATCTTGCGAATGGTCATCTTTCGTTCCTTTTGCCGCTTTTTTCTTCACAGGTGTTAAGAATGGAACCTAGAGTTCGTGGTGTTTCGTACATGAAGGATTACGGCAACGCGAGGTGGATCGAGAAATGAGGATCGATCGGAAGAACACGCTCGTGAGTAGAGTTGGAACGAAGAAGGCCAAGAACGCGGTAAGTTTTCTATTGTTTCTATTGTTTCTTCGTTTTTTATCTTAGAACTTTTTCTCCAGCTGCAAAGAATGTCGAGAGCTGATTGATCTAAGGACGCGCATTTTGATTCTGGAGGCCATGGAAGGCGAGGACACGACTTACTGATCGCTGCTGCGGGAGCTCCAGGTAAGCCTCGGGTGCTCGCGAAATATTGCCTCTGCAGTTTCTCACGATCGCGGTGGATCGGCCGCGCGTAGAGCATCTGGGAGGAGATGGGGGAGGGCGACGAGGAGAGGGACAGAATGCTGCTCCAGCTGGAGCAAGAATGCCTGGATGTGTACCGGCGGAAGGTGGATCAAGCGAATTGCGTGAGGGCTGGGCTGCACCAGCTGCTGGCGGATTCCGAGTCGGAGATCGCGTCGCTCCTGTTGCTCCTGGGTGATCGCCCTTGCACGGTATGCTTTGTTTGATCCATCTCACAGTGCTTTTCCAATGCCCGTTGTTCTTCCTTTCAGTTAGAGAAGAGGTCGGCACTACTCTGCGGGAGCAGCTCTTGTCCGTCTCACCTCAGTTAGAATGCTTGCGTCTGAGGAAAGAGGAGCGGCTGAAGCAATTTGAGGACGTGCAATGCCAGATACAAAGGCTCTCTCAGGAGATATCGCCAGGGGCATTGCAAGAGGCCGAGAATGGAGCTTTTTCTTGGAAAGGTTTGTTGCTGAGAAAGCTGTATGAGTACCATTGCCAGGTTCAAGAGCTTCAGGATGTAAAGGTTGGTTTGTATTGGCACGGTTGGCATTCTTTTTTCTTACAAGTGACATTTCCAGAGTAGCCGGCTCCACAAATTCTCAGAGCTTCTCGAGGTTCTGCAGGGATATTGCGTCCTGTTGGGGGCAGACTACACCGAGGCTGTCAAGGAAGTGCATCCGAGCCTTTGTGATCCAGGCCAGAGCAGAAGTATTAGCGATGAGACGCTAGAGAACTTAGCCAAGACGATCGGGAGTCAGGTATAAATTTATTCTGTGTGCATTTCCTGGCTGATGTTTCGTGTGCACAGGGATAGTGGACTTGTCAGAACTACTTGCTACAATCGAAAGTAGTATCGCCGAGGAGAAGGAAGAATCACTCGGCAGACAAGATATAATGGAATGAATGGAACGGTGGATTAGTGCGTGTGAAGAAGAAAGCTGGCTTGAAGAATACAATAAGGTATGAGCGTTATGCTATTTCACTTATTCATTTTCGATTGTAGGATGAAAGCCGCTTCAATGCAACCAGAGGAGCACATTTGAGTCTAAAACGTGCAGAAAGAGCTCGTGTCATCGTGGCCAAACTCCCCAATGCGTTGCTATTTCTTTTCTCAGTTTTCACAACCTTTTTGCAGATCTTCTTGAATTATTGAAGTCCAAAATGCGGTCTTGGGAGGACGAAAGAGGCAGGCCCTTCTTATATAACGGGGTACGTAAGTGATTTCGTAGACGCTTCTGAAAGTGCTTTGCAGATTTCTCTACTGGCAATTCTAGAAGAATATAGCTTGCTACGACGAGAGAAAGAAGAAGAAAAGCGCCGACTGAGGGTAACTCTGCAGTTTAGTGCCTGTTAAGACGTTAACTGGCTAAATGCAGGAGGAGAAGAGAATGCAGGAGCAACTGCAAACTGAGCAGGAGCTGCTCTACGGCACAAAGCCGTCCAAAAAGGGACAGGTGGGACTTCGCGTGAGTGGAAACAATGCAAACCGACGACTTTCGATAGTCCCTGAGCTCTTACCCGCACCGAAGGCTAGCAATCAAAAGGTTAACCGGGTGAAACGCTACTCTCCGATGATGAATTACGTTGCCTTGCCTAAGGATCCCGAAGGTTCTTCGATTGGATCAGCTCCGGATTCTCCTGTTGCGGCATGAAGGTCAGGTTTTTGTTAGAATGGACCCGTGCGTGATGTTTTGCCTGTGGTGGCCAGAGCGGTTTTGAAAATTAGGACGATAAGCGGGGTTTATACTGTAAGTAGAGTTTGTTTCTTTGCTATCAAGGGTAATCGCGTATCCTTTTTCCAGTGCTCCGTGTTTTGTGTATTGGGAAAGCGTAGGAGCATGTGCTATTTGTTCAAAGCTTTGATTGGTGTAAAGCATCGAACTAATTGTTTCGTGTTAAGTTTCATTCAAGGTACATACAAGTCTTGGTTTGCTTACACTTGGAACTTTAAATTCTTCTCGCTGCTTCTGCTGTCGAGAATTGACGCAGACAAGTTCCACACAGGCTATGCTCTCAAATGATTCAAAGGCTCGCAAGCTTGACATGCTATGTACCAGAGAGCCGAAACAACGGTTTTAAAAGGACTCCATTCCTATTATGGAGTGCATAAGCTCCTGCCACGATCTCCTGTCGCAGATCGAAAGTCAGGACACGAGCTGAATGTGGACATTGCGAAGCTGGACAAGGCGGCGACCAGCATTCAGGCCATGCTTAACAAGTTTAATACTCACAAGCACCGGAATCCAGAGTTCCGCTACTCTGATGGAGCCGAGGAGTGTCTTAATCTTGTCACAAAATGGAACGACAAGGCGCAAGCACTGCTGGGATCACAGTAAGCATATAAACTTGAGAGCTTTAACAGTACAGCTAAATGATCTATGGATGTTTCACAGGGAGAAGCGTTGTGACAAGATCTCGGAGCTGATACACAGCTACGAGGACGATCTCCTTCCGAAAATTGAAAGGTACGAGCGAGAAGGGTTGAGAGTGATACAGCCGAGCACTAGCTTCGCCGTACGGAGTTCCCCGCAAGACAGAGGCCCTGCAAAAAAATATGTACGGCGTGTTTTTCCTGATCCCATGTTTGGGGGCCATGAGCAACTGCTGGATGAGGTGGTGAATGCCCTCTTGGATCCTGAAGCCCGTAGCAAATGGGTTGGACTGTTGGGAGGCGAATGGGAGCGTGCCTCGGATTAACGCAGGGGTTGCCTCTCACTCTGCGCATCGAGCGTGAGAAGCGGATCCAGGCCGTGTACATCCAGGGCGCTGCGACGAAAATGCAGGCTCTCGTGAAGAGAGGCAATTGCTCCCATTCAATATCAGGAGCTAGCCAAAAGTGCAACTCTTTCAGATTTGGAAGACTGGCAGCCAAATCATCCTTGAATTTTGACTGTGCAATGCGTAGATTAGTAAGCCACAGCCTTTCAAGACTTGGGAATGATCCATCCGGTTGAAGAAGTGGATACGATTGCATTTAATAAAAAAATGTTTCTAGGCCGTGGGGCAACCAAGATAGGTTTATGATATCACGGATGTCTAAATATCGTAGTTGCAACCATTCGAAGCTGTCATCACTACTTTCACTGTCTTCTACCCCAACGATGGAAAAATGTTGAAGCTTGATTGATTTCATAAACATTTGTTTCCAAGTAGCTCTGCTGACGGTTCTCACACGAATTAGACATTTTGTTAGGTTGACAAGTTGCCATAACCCAACGAAACTGGCAAAGTCAATGTTGTTTGCATGTAAAACCAATGTTTCAATGTGCTCCAGTGTCCCCATGCTTTCTGGCACCTTCATTGTACCATGTGTCATTCTTAGATCTAGAAGTCTTAGTTTACGTGAAATTCCAGTCAAATCCACAACTGATGACTCCTCTTTTGAATCAAGGCTCAGCTCCAGCTCTTCCAAGTTGGAGAGCTGGGGCAGTAATGCAATGTTACACTTTATGGGCGTCCACTAAGTAGATTTTAGATATTTCAGTGATGTCAGGCTGAAAAGCGCTATACTTATGGATGAATGTATAGGACTTTCTAATGTGGATGACAGTCTTATCAATCACATACAAGGTGTCAAGGTATTGAGCTTGTGGCGATGCTCTAGGATCCATTTTATTCCAGAGAGCATTTCCAAGCTGAAAAACCTTCAAGTGCTTGACATTCGAGGAACAAAAGTGAGTCAGATGGTAGCATATCGTGTACGATTATATAACCAGGAGCTTCTTCATACCCCCAAGACTTATCTATCTTGACCAGGCATCTCCGTTCCAGTTCATTGACAATCGCTGTGGGTGAGAGTTCTGACCCAACCTCCATCCAACATTTGCTCAAGGAACTAAATTCAATTAATTTGTGTGGGAATGCAGCCACATAGAGAAAGCACTCTTGCAGCTTTTCACCCTCATAGTTTCCCAGCTCGTCATAGCTGAACTTCAAGCGTTTGAACATCTGCTTCTCAACATCTGGGTCATTGGACAAGTGCAACCTCTTATATCGTTCTTCCCACACATGTGGCCCTTCTCTTCTGTGGACAGCCATGGCACTGCCAATCACTTCCAGAGCGAGAGGAAGTCCCTCACATTTTCGAGCTATTTTCTTGGCAAATCCCACAACATCAGGGTCACTGGGTTGTGGATCATGCACACTGAAGGCAAACTTCCAAAACATCTTTTTGCTTTCGTCCATTGATAGCTCATGCACAGCAAATGCCTTTGCATCCGGATGCAAAATGCCTTCCTTTCTGGTTGTCACCAGGATCTGGCCAGAGGATGGCCCTGCTATAAAATCCTCTCTTTCATTTCACCCCATTCAAGAGCGTTGAGGAGCTGGGCCTTGAGATCGTCCTCCGAAGCATCTTTCTTCACAGTGATCCACACAATGTTGTCATGGAAATGCTGCCGCACCCTCCAATCATTGTCCACGTCATCGCCAGGTAAGCGGAGAGAGAATGAATCAGGATGGTGTTTAACGGGAGGCAACACGCCAAACCATTGGGTTGCGGTCCGAGATGGACCCGAGATGGAATCCGAGATGGAGTCTGAGATGGACCCAAGATGGAATCCGAGATGGAGTTCGAGAAGGACCTGAGATGGAGTCTGAAGTCGAGACTGAGACTGAGACCGGGACCGAGACCAAGACCGAGACCGGGACTGAGATCGAAACCGAGACTGAAACTGAGGCTGAGGCCAAGACTGAGCCCAAGTCGGAGTCCGACTTCGAGTCTAAGAGGGTGAAAGCCTAAAGCATTCATCTCCCAGACCCTAGGGGTTTAGTGAGCTCCAAAAGCATAGTGGGGGGAGGATTCCAGTGGAGCCAGTTTGGCCAAGAAAGGCTAGTTTGGCCCAGGAAGGCTATGCCTAGATGTTGGGTGATGGGATAACCACTGGGAAGTCCAAGACTAGAGTGAATACGGACAGACAAGCGAGTATCTCATGGGTGGTAGAATGAGCCATACTAAATTCATGGGAAAAGTGTTCCCAGAAGAAAGCAACTTTGGTGCAGAGTTGTGTGAGAACACTGTGGTGAAGTGCTAACGGATAGTTGGCATGAGAAACGACTGTGTTGGTCTTTGCAAAAGACCTAGACACGAGTGCAAGTGTCATAAAGGTAGGCTCGCGGAGCCGATAGTGTGGAGACACCAAATGTGCCAAAGTGTGATACCTTGAGGTTATGTTGGTGGGTTCATGAGAACCCTTTGCCAAGGGAATCCCAATAGAAATAGGAATGGCATAGCCTAAGCTGGAAGGTATGTGGTAGAGCATGGTGACCCAAACAAGGATGGAGATGTGGAAGCACCAGCAATGAGTTGTAAGATTTGACAATTATAAGGCAACTAAGCAAAAAGATGCAAAATAATTGATGAAACTGGTAGAAGGTAACTACCTAAGACTTTTTATTGGGATAAGAAAGTTAGATCTACCCTTATAGGGAATGAATTGCTTATGTTGTGATATAATAAGTCAATATCATAAAGAGAATGCCCATTGTCAAAGAGGCCATTATTTGGGACACCTAAACACTTTAGAATACCAGGAGGTGTTGTTTGATGTTGCAAGGGCAATAGATAAAGCCCAAAGGGACTAAATCCCTAGCGAATGATGGATAAAAGGTCCTATCCAAATGTCCAAAGTAGTGGAGATGGAAGAAGTCCATCTACCCGAATTGGACAAAGCCAAAAATGGAATTTTGGCAAGGCTAGTGATGGGCATATAAAAGCCCATAAGTGGCAATGTTAATCCCAATGTGTGGGATTATAAGGTGAGGATATCCGGATTGAGAAACCACTCCCTAAGCTATCGGGTAGGTTCATCCTTAAGAATACTTGCTAAGGCATGGTAGAAAGTGCAAAGCTATCCTCCTAGTTTGGAGGAGAATAATTAAAGGAAAGATGTGAGGCCAAAAGCAAGTAGGAAGGGGATAGAACCAAAGTATAGGGATTAAAGAGCATAACCAAAGATGGTTATGCTAGTTGGGAGTGGAGAATCAAATGGGCGCTCAAACATGTTGTCATTAGTAACCGTGATGCCATAGAGAGTCTAAAGCATGGAATGGTCTATGTTAGACCATATGGCAATTAGAAAGCTTGCGAAAAGAGAGGCCTTAGCAAGCTAAAGGACAGAGTTCTTTCAAGGTTCCCAAAGACAATTCTAAGCAGCTTAGTACTTAGAAAGCCAAGGGTAAATGGTTCATAGAACGCGCAAAATCAGAGTGGTGCAGCTGAAGCGTGATTTTGAAGCTTGCCATGAGGAAATGCTATCAACGTTAGGGAAGTAGTCTCCAAGTTTTCAAAGGGATGGCTTTGAACGAAAGTTGATAGTCAAGGACTTTCATGAAACCATGTTACGTTGGTTGGATGACTTGTGTAGTGAAATTGGCAAGTCAGGGGAACAAACCCCCTAGTTGAAGGTGCTAACTTTTATAAGGGTGGCCCATGGGGCCAAGCATGGAAGAGTCCATGCATGATCACAGACTTATAAAATGAGAGGACTTGGTAGTGTGGAGGAACTAGATTCCTAAACTATTATCTGTAGCGCACTTTAAGTATATGTTGGTGCACCGGCGTGGGGAGTCACGCCAGGCATCCTGGGTGATGTCATCCGTAGATGCATATACGGAGGTTGGGTTTGAGTCCTGACCTTCTAGTGCTTGGGTTTGAGTCCCAAATCACTAGGGCGCGGTGATGGTTTGGAAAATGAGGACACAAGCTCTATTTCGTTAAAGTGGGATTTATTCAGTAAAATGGGACTAGGTACAAATTTTCAAGTATTTGAAAATGACGTGAAATTATATGTTTTTTGTCCAGGGGCTAGACATATCTGGGGCATGGTGACTAGCGCGGTGACTTTGTGTCCAGACTGAGTCCATCTGGTTGTATAATAAATCTCATTGTCAAGGTGAACAAGCCGAATCTGAAGCTAAAGAAGAGCGATGGCATGCGCGCACACACTATTTGTTTGTTCATTGAGCGTGTGGTGAGCTTTCCAAGATGAACGTCATTCCTATTAGCCAGACATATAACTTAATGGTGAGAACATTTAGATATTATTCAATGTTATCTTTTTCTAACGAATCTAATTGTGAAGGTGTAGCAAGAGGCATTGCTAGTCTGGAGAAGTCATTTAACTCATTTGACCCTTAGTGTATTTTCATGAAACTAAATAACATTCATATTATTAAGGAATTTCTCTAGTACCTTTTTTTTACGACATAGAGGCTTGCATTTCTTTCAAAGGTGATTTAGTAAAAGGCCTGAGGGCACATGCCATTCTATTTCTCAGACCGGTATTAAGATATACTAGTGCAAAGGGCCACATGCCATCACGCCTCCTCTGATTCAGATTCGGATTGTTCACCTTGAAATAAAATACATTAGAAACTTAGTAAAGGAATATTAATGAATCTCACCTTGAACCCGGGTTATGAATGCTCTTGCTGCATCTCTTGCATGGTCTGGCAAGGTGATGGTGGCACTCTGCTTCCGCATCCAACCATGCACAACATTATCCACCGATATGCTCATGCTGGGATCCCTTGGATTCAGCACCCATCTCTTTTCTAGGCAATCCTTCGTATATCCGGAACTTGGCTTGAACCACTCCACAGTTACATTGAAGGAGTTAGTTTCCGCGTCCTCCTCTGCATCAGTGATGCAGCGCCCCACCTATATCATTTGTTTTTTATTACTGGGTCTGACAAGCACGACCATTCCTTTGCAGACCTGTACTGGATTGAATGCTGAATCCGGCTTCTTGTTCCTCGGCCCACAATAGTGATCCTCAACATCGTTATCTGTCACTGCATTTCCAGAGGACATTGTTCCGCTACTATCTGGTGCTCTGGGTTCTGGCCAAAAGGACTCTTCCAATTCTTCATATACAACCGGCCCATTTTGGATAGCAAATATAATCTTCTCCCAGTATTCGAGCAAAGGCTTGCACCTCTTAAAATAGGATTCTCCACCAAACACCAACCCCCTCTTCCAGAAGGCAATATGCTGTCTAATCCCGGCCAC